AAGCCGATTGCTGAAAACAGAATGTAATGTGATCGCTGGGTACAGGACTGGGAAAATGGGTAGAGGGATTCTGGTGCATGAATGGTGCTGTTTCAGTGACTGTGTGAGCCACATAGCTTTGCAGTGTTATTTACATTCCTGCTGCACATTGGAATTCTGTAGCATGTTGGTCTCAGAGTCCCATGGCCTGACTCCCAGACAGAGGGAGGGGAGGTGTGTCCCTGATTTTTATGTAAAATGTGAGAGCAGTGTGTTATCCAACCAGGGCACATTTAAAAAAAAAAAGTGTTTCCATCTGGCAAAAGATCTAAAAGTCTTACACACAGTTTTGTACATGGGAGCTGCTGGTTATTATCAGTATCAGTTCCATAACAGTTTCTCAATTGTGCTATGAAATGTCAGCAAATTAAAATGAGCCAAAGTGTGCCACAATTGTCTAAGCTGAATGGAAAAGAAACAGAAATCACCCTTATAAGATTTATATTTCATACTATGGTTTACTCATGAAAGTGACCACCGTCTCATTTTTGTCTCACACAACACAATTGATTCATTCTTAAGTAAAATGTTAATTAGGCCATGATATTAAAATGGCAAGCTTGCCACCCAAATAGCTCTGACCTATTATCGATGTAGGACCTTTTGATGATAGTCCTGCAGTTACTGGTACTAGGACAGAAGTAGGTGATCCTTTAGGACATGTGGGGTGCAAGTGGTACCCTCCATGGATCGGGCTTGTGTAACATGCAGATGCTTACTGGATTGGGATCTGGGAATTTAGAGGCCTGGTAAAAGGCACGAGCACTTTATTGCTTTCCTTGAGCTGCTCCTGCCACACTGCAAGGTGCGTTCTCCTGCTAGAGGAGGCTGCTGTTGTTGGGAGTGCCATTTCAGTTAAGGCTGTGTTTGGTGTGCAAAACCAGAATGATGTCATTCACTTTCATTTGTATTTAATTTCAAGCCCAAAACATTAAGGATATTCCTTTTTAAATCTCATGTAACAGGAAAAAGAACTGTAAATTATTCGAGTAGAGACTGAGGAACTGAGGATTTTCTATCACCTTTGCTTCACAAGTACTTATTGCTCATCGAACATGCTCATTCAGTTAATGCCACTCAACATCAGTCAACTGATTTATTTTTTCTATCAACACTGAGGACTGTTTGTATTTTAATCATTGCAAGTTGTTACTATGCTGTGGAGTTTCTCACCCAAACTGGCTCGAAGGGACATTACAGTGCATTGGTGAGAGATCTTCTAATTGAATCAGTATGTTAATTACAACTGCTTTACTGGTATTTTGGGAGTAAATCATGTTGGACAACTAAATCCCAAACCTCCTCATGCTGACTCATTTAATTGGAGCTCTCTACAAGTATGAAACTAGCTGTTGCGTTTGAGTCCATAAGACTGTCTGTCCAACATTTATCATGATGTCGGGGCCATTGTCCTGACTTAAATCCCGTGACTCCACTCGGAGATGTATTGAAAAATTGCTCCACTGACAATGCCCTCCCTCTAGTCTGAGCTCTGAGCGTCACAAAGTGGGAGCGTGTTCACTGCTGATGTTGCATTCCAGCTGGAACAATCCCACTGTTTTCCAGACTCCAAAGTGGACGCCTAAATTGGACCCCCCTTCCCCCCTCCAAAGTCCCCCCCTAGTCCCCCCCCACCCCCCATACACACCCCTTTTCCCCCTCTGCTCTAAACCTACCATCCAAACCACCCACCCACCACCCACTCCTCCTCCCATACATGCATCCCCTGGTCTCCTGTCCTTATTTGGGTAAAGACGTTCTGAGTGCTCGTTGGAGGGGAGGGAGGGGAGGGCGCTGGGTTGACACAAGGGAGGCAGGAGGAGAAACAGTGAGCACTCGCAGCCCTTTCTTAATAAGGACATGTCTGGAATTCAGGCCCCTCTCTTAGTGAAGAGCCTCTCTTTTGCAGCACCTCACTTGAACACGCTCTTGTGAGCACTTGGAGCTCCATTGAGGTCGTCGGATCTGATGTTACATTGAGGGCTGTTTGCGGCTCTTCACTGCTCACAGTGCAGAGGAGGTTCGCAGTGTTTTCTCTGCTATAATTGGAGATAAACAACAGCAGCCACCTCTCCCTCCACGCCTCCCTAACTGTGCCATCAGCCTATGATTACGGTCTCGGCTTTACTGAGCCCGTTACCCCGCAGCACCTGCGCACACATTAATGACATACTTTGAAAGACATCTTCACACCAAGCTATATGACCACCATATGCTATACTTGAGATTGAGATAGACGTGTATTGAAGATTACATTATTGTTTGTAGAAGTGGACCTTTTGTGCTGGTTTAGTTTTTAATTTGTTCCAATGCGGACAGCGTGACAACAAAGTAAAAATCGCACTGGCGAAACTCTTGTGGTTGTTTCAGTCTGCTTACACATTTTATGGTTTTAGCTTCTAAAATGTAAAGATGTGATGCTAGAATATGCCATGTATTATAGTAGATTGATTATTTTAGGGTTTTGAGATGTTGGTGAAATAAAACATTGCACTTGAAATCATCATATTTTGCTGTTGGAAACCATAACGAGCATTTCCCAATGTCTTAATTTATCTACCCACATGACATTGTAGGCCCAAACTTTTTTTATTGTTGGTTTGTTTTCCACTTCTTGTTTTGTTTCTTTAGCAGTGCAAAATGTAAGAAATCATCACTTTTTAGAAGTTAAAACCAGATTTTTTTCTCTTCTACATAAGTAATTAAATGGCAATTCATAGTTTATGAAATGGTTTTACACAAGTCAGTGCAGGGCTTTCTAATTGTTTACTTGCACACATTTTTGATTATTATTTATCAGTAAAGTATCACAATTCCCCCCCCCCCCCCCCCCACAAATTGGCTAGATAGATTATAATTAAACTAACCCCAACTCTAGCAGTCACTGGGAGCAGTCCAGCCCAGTGATTCGTGAGGACTGAGATCATTTGAGCTGTTGATGAGTGCTCAGTTTCAGTGTTGAGTTTTAACACCGTGACCCTGTCTCAAAGGGTCCACCGTAACCAGGACCCTCTCAGCTAAAATTAGCAGCTTGACTTGTGGATATTTCTCAAACTCTCGCTTTGGTTCAGTGTCAAAATTAATGTTGCATGTTGCTTGTGGTAGAATTTCACTGCAGGAACAGTATTGCCATACTCTATTCACCTTTGATCTTTTGTAATTCCTTTTAAATGATGATGGGAAGGGAATGAAAGCATCACTAATCCTTCGCCTCTGCTTTTCACCATCAGGCATTTTGTTATAGCTACAGTAATTGTAAAGTGTGTGTGTTGTTCTACGTACTGATGAAAAGCACGGAAAAAGAAAGCCTAGGAGAGATTCCTGTGCTCATGAATGATGAATTTCATACATTATAGTGTATGTATAGTATTTTTTTTTTATATATTTATATTTAAGTTTCTTCTTGTTAAAAGGGAGTTTATTCTCTCTTGTTTCATCAAGTTCCTCGTAGTGTGTTGTACCGTTGTTTCCATTTGTGAAGTTGTAGTTTCTTTACCTTGCAATATAGAGAGGATGTTATAAATGTCATGGCTGTAAAACTGCCATTACAAACACGGGTTTTATTCACTATTGTTACTCATTTATATTTTCACCTGAGAATAGAAATGTTATGGGTTGATTTTTATGCTATTATGATATCCTGCATTTCTAAACCTCGTAAAATAATAGTCAGTAATGAAAGAAAGAACTGGCTGGGTCTGTATTTATCCATTATACTTTATTTTTGTCAGTATCTGCAGAAATGCTGAAGCAGAAACATAAGCATCCTGGGAGGATAATGGTTACCTCATAGACTTCCATTTTAGAAACAATACAATGCTGAAAAGGCAGCTTGAAAAATACTTAAGAGCCATGCCTGCAGTCAGCCATAAGCCAACCACACTGGAACACAGTTCCCAGACCACAAGAATTCTTTGAGGCCAGCGCTGATTAGTGAGGTCTTTAAACTTAGTTTTATGGAATATCTTGAATTCATTTGGCCATTTCAGAGACATAAAATCAAGGAAATTATCATAATGATTACGGGTTGCATTGTTTATTCTTGTAAATTTAATGACTGCAATAAAAAAAAAACGTCAAAGAAGGTAGTGGCTGTATAGATGAACAACATTCCTTTTTCAAGGAGATCTTCTTTGCTCAAGTCAAATGTTTCCAGTTGTGAGGATTTCAAAGAAAAAAGACAAATTTGAGATTTGAGTCAAATTTGAGTTGTCTTAGATTTAACTGAATTGATTGAGTTTTACTAGATATCTCCTCAAGGTTATCTGGTGTCTGTTCATAGAAGGCATCAAGTCAAAATTTATTTTTTTTGAAGCTCAGCAGTGTTGCTTCATAAACTCTAAGAACAATGTAAGACAGTTGTTCACTCCTGACCCATTTGCCTGCTGCTTAGCACATATCATAGCGAGTCCATCAAATTCATGACCTCCGCACAAAAATAAGACAATTTTATGTTGGACATTTTATGTGTGTTGCCAGATAATGCCACATGTCCTGTACCTTTGCTTAATTTGGACATTTAAGTGTAAAGCTGGGACCAGCATGGATGCCATTGTGTAAACAATGGCTTTGATCTAGTAGAAGATCAAACTTCTACTATGGCAACATCTGTAAATTCTACTAGGTGAGGTTTTACTGGAGAAAAAATATATAATAGTAATAATAATTATAATAGTAATAGGAACTGAAGTGAAACATTGTGCTTCACTGATTTGTTTTATATTCTTTTTTGGCAACAAATAAGGGTTAAATTATGGATTTGGCAAAACAGACAATACTTTTTCAATGAGCGTTTCCAAATAATGCTGGACTAACGATAAACTGTTTCTACATTTCCTCAGACCCTTTAACTTGCTGTTTGGGTGAAAAACACTGTTTGTTGGGTTGTGCTCTGGTGATGATCATAAAAATTGTGATCAGTATGGGACTTTTAAAAATGTTTATGCAACTGTATTCAACAGATCACCTACAGATCCTTTGATACCGGGGCTCGGGGTTGGGCCCAGGTGGAGCCGCCACAATTGCGTCCAACGAGTGGAGTGCCAACGGTAGCCCAGAAGATGGGCTGGACGGGGACAATGAAGACAAGACCATGGACGGGGATGCCGAGGGCGTGTGGTCCCCAGACATTGAGCAGAGCTTCCAGGAGGCCCTCGCCATCTACCCTCCCTGTGGAAGGAGGAAAATCATCTTGTCAGATGAGGGAAAGATGTATGGTGAGTTCACTGGATAACTGCCAGAGTAACAAAAGAACAACAATTACATGGAAATCCACTCCATAATTAATGCACGAAAATGAGAAAAACATTCATTCCACAGAGACTTGTGGCTAAAAGAAAACAAACACTGGTAATACTTTCCTGAAAAGAAATGAGAAAAATACTTTTCTTCTTTTTGCGCTCAAAACTTTGCTACAGAATGTTTTCTTTCCACTCAGAGCTCTCTTTAACAAGTCTGTACCTGTTGTGCTGTGACCCAGGGGCAGGTTCTTCCAGTCGTACCAGCACTCTCAGAGCTGGTTATTGCTGTCCTGAGAGCAAATCGGCTGCTCTCCCATTGATTTACACCTGTCTTTTTCTTCAGAGTGTTTTTATTGCTTTGTCTTTTTTTTTCCCCTCCTACTATTTCACAACCTGTCCTTTTCGACATTATGTTGTTAGACACACAACCTCTTTGTCTTCTTTTTATCTCTGAACAACATATTATATACTTTTTTTTTCTTTCTTAAACACACTGGTATCACTGGGAGAATTTTGCCTTTAGGTAACCGGTTAAAGCCGGTTTTCAGGAGAACTGTTGCGTTTGATGCAGGATGGCTCAGTTAAATTAGCAATAATTAGCCCAGCATGAATCGAGACTCAGAACAAAAACATCACATTGGCCTGCTGTTCTGCCGAAGAGTTTAAACATCCATATGGTTTCGGAATAGTTGCGCTGTTTCCTGCAGCGTGTCCATTAAATTGCAGGTGTTGAGCCCCTAATGTCCTGAAACGCTCCAGATGGATATGTTGGCAAGGCCTTCCGTAGACTCACTCGCATGCAGGTGTGGGAAATTTAACACACTTGTCTTTGATTATTTTGATCGTACTCTCCCATTCCTAATGTTGAGACTGTTTTCTTAATGAGATTTTATTATTTTATCTTGGAAATGTAGCTGAAGAGCCATAAATGTTGAATGCGAGAAATCAAGCTGGTTTTTTTACGTTTGTACTTGCTGTGCCCTCTTTTTGATTTTGCTAAGTTGCAGTGATATTTTTTTCAGCATTGTAACTCAGCCCCCTTGTGCTTAGTAAGAATTTCCTGCCCTTTAATTAATGTCCATCAAGGCTCTAAAAGTTTAAACTTATTGTAGCTTCAGTGCAACCATAAAAACCATCAATCATGGCCATCAAAATGTCAGAGGGACTGTGTATCTTAGAAGCATCGGTGTTTGTTTCTTGTGTGGCTTTTATTTGCTTGACGTCAGATGGGATTCTTTTGGCATGATTCAACCAAGATGGAATCTTATCCTCATTTGTTCAGCAGATTCGGATATTCAAGGACAGGCACATACCTGAGATTACTCAGCCACTGCTGCAGCTTCTGTTGTTACTCTCAACCTGCCTTAAGGAACAAAGTAGTCATGAAACGCGTGGTGGATTAAACGATTACTCAAAACTTATTAAAATTTTTGTTTGCGTAGATGAATTTCTAATAATTAGTTTGTTTATCAAATATTTCTGACATACTGCTTTTCTTTTGGATAATTTTAAATTGAATATTTTATGGTTTTGCTGATACGCTAAATACGGTTACAGATTAATCCGCCCGAAAAAAGGAAAATTTTAGCATGGATTTAACAAATAAATGACATATACATATACTGTAAATAATGTAGTTCAGTTTGCTCTCACTATGTGATGGCACAAATTATCCCAAAGATCTAAATTTTTATGTAGGTGTCTAGCGCACAGGATACACCTATGCTGATACACTTATGACAGGTTAGTACTGGTTGACAACAAGATTGGTTGGGTTTTATCCAATGCGATTTAATTTTATATGC